TGTAACTCATTTAAGCATCATCGGAGATGACTCATGCTCTAGTTCTTAAAAATCAAACTTGTTGCTAAATCCATGACCCTTCATCTTTGTATTTTGAATTCTCAGGCGTTTCTTCCACCTGGTCATAAACAATTTCCTGTGTTTGTCCATTAAGCTTTTTCTATTGACATCTTCCATCTTCCGTGTCACTTGAGGATAGCATCTTCCCTATGACCACTTCTTTCTACATGAGAACACTGATTTTTGCCAAGGCTAGGTTTCCAAGGGCTTGCAAAATAGCTAAACACTCAAAATGACTGTGCAATGCTACATAATCCCTTTAGTCATCACACTGTCTGAGCAATACTGCCTCAAAAATAAATGGAAGAATGCCTTTCTCCCTCAATCTGGGAAATGATATGAAACCCAAACAAAATTACTTAAGCCCTGTGTCTCACTGTAACCTCCTGAAACCAGTTCTCTTGTCTGTATAAGGCTGCAATTTATGATGGAGTTTGATGAGAGAATATATGCCGGCTATTCTTTGGTGTCTTATGCATTTTCTTCCTCCAAGCTTATGCTACAACCTTCTTCTGCAGGCATAAATAAAGCCTCTAAGATAAGATTAAATGTCATCTCAGGACATCTCTAAAGCTAGAGGCTCAGGGGAAAGTTGTGAGAAACCGGCTGAAGAGGCATCATCTTCAAAGGATTTTAGGTGCAAGATCTTCAATGGCTGTGGTCCTAAATATCCACCAAAATCATCCAAGAGAGAGAGCTGGTATCTTGACCTCCATCTTAAGTGGAGGACTTCAGAGTCAGCTGTGTAGCTGTCAGTCATACATGGTTGTCTCTGCCCCTTCCCTCTCCCGTCCAACTCTGTAGAGTCAGAGATAGCTGGTGAGCGGATAGGGAGCGATGGAAGAGCAAGTTTGTGGAAAGAGAGATGACCACATCCTGCCTTGTCACTGAGTCAGGTGCAAGCTGGGGGCAAGAGGGAGCTTTAAATTGATAAGAATTTGAAGATAGATGTTAGAATTACCTGGATTATAACACAATTTGTTAATATCTAAACACGGCAGAAAGTGGTATGGGAACTAAGAGTTCATTTAGAGAAAGAAAAGGAAGAGTGGGTTTAAAGCGAAAGCCGTGAAAAATAATATAGTTGCTGTCTCCTTGCATCTGAACAAGTTTTAATTATCCAATAAATGAGTTATACACACACCACCAAAACATCCTTGCTTCATTAGTGTTTATACCCAAGAGATGTGTGTGTGTGTGTGTGTGTGTGTATTTACTTCTGTGTATATTCTGTGTATATGCATAAATTTTCCTCACTTCCTTTCCTTGCTGTTAGTGAGACTTAGAAATACACATCATGCTTGAGAAACTATATAGTTCCTTAGGCAAAAGGAGTTTGAGAGAGGAGCAATATTTATTAATGTTATATGCAATTTATTTTCCACTTATGAGAAGATAATTCCTTAAAAATGAGATAAAGTGATCCTTAGCCAAAAGTATATGCTGGATAATTTAAGTCTTAATTGAGGAAACTACAGAGCTCAGTAAGCCTTGAGACTCTCCATGGCACATGAGCAATACCTTTTATCACGGAGAGAGAAGGGCAGAAATGATTCAGTCTGAAGATGATTTGCCCCAAATCCTCAGTCATCTTCAATAGAAATAAAATCCATGAGTTTCTTTGACTCTAAAAAATGGGCCTCAAATGGAAATACAAGCACTTTTCATTAATGCAAGTTTAATAAAATGTTTATATTTAGGTTTGATTTTTCAGTTGGCACATTCTCTTGGGCTTCTTTGTTTTGCTAAAGAGCTTCGATTCTCTTTCCCCATCAGATTTAACTCTCTGCATATCTCTCTCACTGGAACAGGCTCCTGTCACTTCCATTTTGCCATCACACTTTCTGTGAGTGCTCGGAGAGTTTCAACATAAAATAATTCCTCTTTTCTACAAAAAGAAACTAGAAAAATCTACTTAGAGAGTAACAAGAAAAGTCCTAATTATTTCTGTAGAAATTGACCAAAGAAGCAAGCCCCAAGTGATAGGAAAAAAACAAACAAACACCTTTTTTGCTAAATCTTGAAATAAAGGATTGATGACTCTTGATGTAGAAAATTTGGTTTTATCTGTGAGACTCTTTTGATATCAATATTGTAAGCAAGGGCAACACATCCTATACATTAAGATACTGCTGATTTCTTTTCCTCAAAACAATACAGTATAAAAACAAAAACTTTAAAAGTTTATAGATTTGAGAAAAAAAACTTTCAATCAATCTGATATAAGAAAAATTAGAAAGAACAGAGAGGACAGATTAATGTATTCTGTTTATTTTTATTCAGTAGTCCTGATATATAGTTTTATTTTTAATAGATTGAACAAGTTGGAGGAAAAGAACGATTATGTAATTGACTGTTAGTTTCTTAGTTTCCCTAGCTTTTCAGATTATTTTTGTAATGATTAACACCTTTTAACCATAAAAATCCATAATATGGACATTCCACAGCAGAAACCTTTAAAAGGGCTTGTCATTTGATAATCATTAAAATATGCTTTCTTAGATTCAAGCTCTGAAAACAACACTAAAAAAGCTATTGTGCAAAGCAGGAATTTTGATTTTGATTAACAGTGAACCAAATGTGATTGAAGCAGGTTATAATACGTAGTGACATATTGGCTGAACAGATGCTTAAATAGAATGTAACATCTGAAGTTTCCTGTTCATCATTCTCCACTCAGTATTTACAATATAAAGTCTCCAAAGAAAAATAGTGTTGTAATCTCTATGTCTAGCATATACATTGGAACTTTCTTAAAAAGTGGAAAATGTTTAAATGACCTGTTAAATAAGAGGTGATGTTTTAATGAAGTAGGTCATTGGCTAGATGAGGATTATGCAACTAGTTTAGGCTGAAAGCTGCTTTTACATCTTCCAGTATTTAGCCCCTGTTATTTGCTAATGGCGTTCATCACTGCCACTTCCCGCAAAGAAGCATCTCATCCATTTCAAATCCTTCTGTTGATCCTACAGGGGAAGCACTCTAGATATTTCCCTCACATCCAAATACACTTAAATTCTTCTAGTTGATTTCCTTCCCAAAAAGTTTGTACAAATGGTGAATTTTGAGAAAAGATCTGTGTTTGAAAAAGTGAAGAAGTGAGATACAGGTGAAGAGAAAAGCAAGCTTAAAATTATTTGCCTTCCCTAGAGCATTGCCTGTGAATTAGATTACAACCAATGACTCTTTGCTGTGCGGAAGAGATGATTTAACAAGAACGAACATCACACAGTCCTAGCCCTCCATGTAGATGAGCAATGTAATACATATACTGGGCATGAATACATACATGCACTAAATACCCATGCTCATATGTCTATCTGTGCATTTGCATATGCATACGTCTCTATATGTGCCTCACCAAACTAATGAACTCGTGCTTATTCAATAGTTATTAAAAATTGCTTTGTCAAATTTTCTTACTGTTGCAACACCCAGGCCTTCTTTATTTCTACAACACTAACAAAACCCTGGGCCGGGGCTACAGTCACTGACATCCCATGTGTGTGTAGTAGAGACTTAACACTACCAAGGAAAGAGCATTCTTTCACTCTTTCAGTATTATTTCTTGAATGTTCACTGTGTGCCAGCTACTGATTGAGGTCTACTGTGAGGAAGAAGACATATGACTCTGCAGAAAGGGCATTAAAAACCTGATTGAAATTATAATAACTAAGCACTGAATCACTCACTAGAGGGAGTCAATAAGCCCCCTGTCAACCCCAAAAGAAAACATCGCAACTAAAGTTAACAGCAGTTCAGAATAGCCGGAGTGATATATATCCCTAATCATCCTTGATCAGAGTTGTTAAGCAATCTGTACGCCAAGTATGATCAGCGACCAGACCTAAATTTTGTTCTTGTGTATTTATAAGTTGTAATGTTTTATTTAGTTGTTTGGTAAATTGAGTTCATATACCAGTGTGATGAAGTTAACTCCAAAAAACTTCTTTTTGCCCTGAGCCTCGAGGAAAGAATATCAACAGGGTTTAGGTTTTACTAGATATACCTAATTCCACATTGTCACTAGTCTAGTGCTTAGACAGAGACAAACCACCCCTGATTGGGTCTGCACTTACCCTAAATATTTGTAGAGAGGAAAAAGGAGGTTAACCTATTGGCTTCTTAAAAAATTGGTCATAAACTGAATCAGTGCCTAATAGAGGAAATCAATAAAGTACTGGTGTGGATGGTGATAATAACAGTTTACAGATGCTCTTAAGCCCATGAGTCATCATCATTAATTTAGCTCCACATGCATGTAGGCAGAATAATAGGATTCAGACAGACCACTAAGGGGAAGATCTATCATATTGATCAGGAGCAGCAGGCAGAAAGATGGGCTTTCAGGTATCGTGTCTGACAGCATTATGATGCAGTGAAAGGCAATCGATAGAGCCTTTCCATCTGACTGGACTGCCCACTGCTGGGAACACAGCCTCACATTGCGACCTCCTTCACTCTCAAGTTCACTTTTAGCCAAGCACTTGGCTTCAAGTCACCTGTACCTGTCCAACCCTGAGCCCTGAGGGTGGGCTTTTGCTTGACTCTTGAGCCGTACTCCTTGTTTGTGCTTTCTGTTAATATGTGAAACTTCACTTTGTTCTTTGAACTTGGGTTTCTCAAGTTTGTCAGCACATTTAATGTTCATTTGTTCCTAGAACAGAGGTTCTGCCCTTGGTGTCTGTTATTCTTTTTTTCTTCCTGGGCTTGAAATTTGGCCTCTAAACCCCAGTCAGGTGGCTGGGCTCCTGCTCAGAGACTGTCATGCTTGCCTGTGTGCACTTCCCACTGTCACCTGATGAGAATTTTCAATCACTAAGTTCCTGCAAATAGAGACTACCATTACTTCAAGTTGGAATATATTGTTTACCAAGTATCACTTGCGATTTAGAGCTCACTTACCAGATGCTAAATAGTGTGTAGTGGTCTAGATAGCCCCTCAGCTTCTGCAAATAGATTGTCTTTTCCTTCTGCCTCTTCCAGTCTATCTGGTGCAGTCACTGTATCAAAACCAGTCCTGTCATGGAATATGGTAAGAGGTATGGGAGATGAAAGTTGTCCTCGGCCTTAAGAAGGACCATTAATACACAGCAACTACAATTTAATAAATTCATTAATTATCTTTTATTGATTATTACACACTCGGTGTTGAAATCAGAGCAACAAAAACACAAAAGACAAGATTCTCATTCTCATGAAGCTTGTATTTTAGGTGTGCATGCACACATGCGTGCGTGTGTGTGTATGTGTGTGTTGTTGTTGTCGTCGTCGTCGTCGTTGTTGTTGTTGTTGTTGGAAAGAAAGATAAATTCATTAATTATCTTTTATTGATTATTACACACTCGGTGTTGAAATCAGAGCAACAAAAACACAAAAGACAAGATTCTCATTCTCATGAAGCTTGTATTTTAGGTGTGCATGCACACATGCGTGCGTGTGTGTGTATGTGTGTGTTGTTGTCGTCGTCGTCGTTGTTGTTGTTGTTGTTGTTGTTGGAAAGAAAAGCAGACAATAAAAATCAACATCAGGTTATAAATGGCTCGGTGTAGAGAATTTAAAGAGGTGAAATGATAGAGCTACTTCAAAGTGAGTGATTAGGAAGCTTCTCTGGAGGTGACATTTGAAGTGGACATTCGAAGTGATATAAAGGAGCCAGCCAATGGATGATCAAAGAGAACCTGTTTCCAGAAGGGGAAAAACCTGGGCAAAGGTCCAAAGAGAGGAATGAGCCTGAGAATGTGAGACTCAGATCAGAGCGGCTGGAGATAGTGGACAGGAAAATAGTGATCGGAATGAGGCTGACAACTTTGGCAGAGGCTGGATCTTAAGCGGTTTTATGAACCAAGGTAAAAAGTTTTGAGTTTAATTTAAACACAATGGGAAGGCATTGGAAGATTTTAAGTAGAGGAGTTACATTTAAATACAGCACATTGCTTCTGGGCAGACAGGAATTCACATGGAAAGCCTGAGAGGCTGCTGAGATGCTTGTTAGGAGGTTATTGGAGAAAACATATGGGAAGGTGATTGGACCAGGTTATGTAAGTGCAAACAGAGAAAAGTGGAGGAAAATCTGGAGGACTCGTAGAAGGATTTGGTGTGAGATCTCGAATCTTAAGATCTTTATCTTGAGCAAGAAGGCTAATGGTGGTGCTATTTTCTGAGGATGAGAAATACTAGAAAAGTGAGTTTGAAGGAGAAAAATCAAGTGTGCTGCTATTGGCTGTGTAAGTTTCGGTTGCCTGTTAGACATGATGTAAATAAGTTAGCAGTGGAGTATATAAATCTGAAAGATGGGAGATATCAGGGTTAGAGATGGAGAATTGAGAGCTGCGAACTAAGAGAAAATATATGTATATTGGTCTTCAATCCTGGTCTCAACACAGAGCTCCTAAATCCCTTGGAATCCTGGGTGATAGCAGTGTCTTTTGTTCTAATGAGGTGGTTCCTGGATAGCTTCTGTATGGGAGCTGGTCATCACAAAGACCAAGCAATGGTTAGACTCTTGGAATTTTCAGTCCCAAACCCCATCCTCCTGGAAGGGGAGGGGGCCTAGAGATTGAGTTAATAATCAATCATGCCTATGTGATAAGACCTTCATAAAAATCCCAATATTACAGTGAAGAGAGAGCTTCTGGGTTGGTGAACATATCTACATGCTAAGAGAGTAGTGCATCCTACCTCCATGAGAACAGAAGCACCTGTGCTCAGACCTCTCCCTATATATCTCTTCACCTGTCTGTCTATCTGTATTCTTCATCCTATCCTTTATTATATGGTAGACTTGTAAATGTAAAAAAACATTTCTCTGAGTTCTGTGAGCTGAGCTGCTCTAGCAAATAATCAAACCCAAGGAAGGAGTTATGGGAACTCCAATATATAGCCTGTCAGTCAGAAATATAGATGACAACCTGGGACTTGTGACTGGCATCTGAAGTAGGGGGTGGGGGCCATTTTGTGAAACTGACCCCTTAATCCATGGGATCTGATGTGATCTCTAATTAGATGGTATCAGAATTTAAATTACAGGACATCCAGCTGGTGTTAGAGAATTGCATGATGAGTGAAAAACCCTTACATCCAGTGTATTTAGTGTATTTTTCTTCACAGGATCCATCAGCATCAAAGATGGTGTTTGTGGGCTTGGAAGTGAAGGAGGTCGTGTGATGTATGTGTGGACAGAGAAAAGAAAGTGCAGAAGAGGCCTCTGAGGCACTCCAATATCTTGACGCCTCAGAGAGAGAAAGGAGCTTGAGAAATGGTCAGAAATGTAAAGGAAATATATTTAAAGAGCCTTTATTACATGCTAGTCTTTTATGTAGGTTAACTTGTTTAATCTTTAACTTCCAGAATTAGATAGAAAGTGCAGTCAGATTGTCTCTGTTAGAACCCAAGCTCCTCCATTGGCCCACTGTGTGACCTTGTTACAGAAGCTACAGAAAGATTAGCCTTGTTATAACTGAGTCTCCTTATTTGAAAAAAAAGATTTATAAAAATATCTACCTCATAAGCTTGATGGTTGGATTAAATGTGTGTGTGTATATATATATATATTATATATATATATAATATATATATATATTTATTAATTTATTTTTTTTTAGGCAAGGCAATACTTTGTTGACCTCACAGATTGCAAGGACCTTGTCAGTTTACAATCCCCCCCCCTTTTTTTTTTACACCTATAGCACCTGGTTTTCCTAGGTGGTCTCCCTGTTTAGCTTCCGAGATCAGATGAGATCGGGCTTGTTCAGGGTAGCATGGCCATAGACCCTAGCACATACTAAACATTCAATAAATGTGATATGGCCAAACTCAACAGATTTACATTCTGTCTTGTCTGTGGATTGACTAAGTATACCCCCCAAAAAGTCAGTTAGAGTTAGAATGAGGCAAAAATACCCATACAACTAGCCAATCAAATAATTAGTCTCCATATAAATATATAATATATTGACCACTATTGTAAATTATAAAGAAAGAATAATTGTTTTTAAAAGTGGATTTGTTAATTTTCACCATGTAGACCAAATGGAGGAGTCAATCTCAATAAAACAATAATTTATATAGAAATCATCTATTCATTTCATTTAAATAAAGTAATTCAAGTTTGGCTAATTAAGTCTCGTCAAGAAAGTTGTTGGGAAGCTACTTCAATAAGTAGAGAAGAATGATTTGTATTTAATACACTGGTTGTTTATCTGTAAATTGGTGTTTTAAATTGCTTGAGAGCAATTTGTTCTCTTAAGCAAATTAAATGTTCTTATGTATGTATTAGACTATTTTATTGGCAACTTTTTTTTATAAAGCAAAGTTAACTTCAGCTTAATTCCTATTCAAATTAATGAAAGTTTCTTTCATTTATGAGCTTCTAAATCTTTTCTACTGGTGTTAAAATTAGGTTCTATTACTAAATTTGAGAAATGAGAAGAATGTCTCTGCCCATGATCCCACTATCCAATTACAATAAATTATGTGGAAGGACTGCTGTTCCTTTGGAAGAAACTGTGAGGAGCATCTGCCAGCCCTGCGAGGTGACAGGTCTGACTGTGATATAATATCTTAGAATTCAAATCCATTTGAATTTTTGTCTGAGAATACCACAGTGTGTTACATATCACAGACATTCGTTATGTTGGAAGAAAGGAAGAAAAGAAGCGAGGGAACGAGGAGGGAATGAACAAAGAAAGGAAAGGAAGGAGGGAAAAAAGGAGAGGGAGGAAGGAGGAAAAAAATCTCCTTGATTAAAGTATGGTTTGGAAGTGCTAGTTTCTGAACATGGTCAGTCGCCAGGGACTGGCTCAGCCTTGGAAAGTTTCAAAAGTTAAGCTGATGTGCTCTGTTGAAATTCACCCAAGAATTGTACACCTTATTGCTAAGGAGTCACACCAGATGTCCTGTCCAAGGACTAATAACATTTATTCCTGTAGGCTACATCCATATGTGAGGAAGCACAAAAAAGAGCATTTCAGAGCTAGTTAGTCAACTTTACGATATGCTCAGTGCACTGTATCAGGAATACAAAAGCATTTTCCAGATGGCATCATAAAGTCAGTTCATTTTTTGCAAAGCGCTATCTCATTTTTGAGAAATAGTCCCTTGTTTTTCATTCCCCTTGGTCATTTTAGAATTGCTTTTTTTCCTCACCATAAATGCAACACTTAAACTAGAGGGTCGGGCAAGATATCTGCTGTATATTATGAAAAATGTCTAACAGGCTGTGAGTGTTCAGATACAAATTGATGAAAAGGATAAGATATTGTCTTAACCACTGGGCAGGCCATCGAGGAGACAAAGTGTCAGATGGATATTGGGATGCAACTTTTACTATTAATGATACAACCTGGTATAATTCACTTAATCATTCTGTGTTTCAATGTCTATATATGTATGAGAGCTATTCTAACTCTCAGAAATTCTTTTGTGAATCATCCAAGGCTCACCTATTTGAGTTGTTTCTCTACCTGCTTATTACCATGAACTTTGCTGTAGCCAAATTGTTCAACTCGGTTTCTTCCAAATACTCTTTGTACTTTTCCAAATTCATGGCTTTCATCAAGTCTTTTCTTTGGCCTAGAATGTACTTTCCTTCTCTGTCTAGCGAAATCCTACTTGTCCTTTGAGGCACTGATCAATCTTCTTCTCATTGAAGACGTGCATGGATCCATGTCACTCTATGAAATGATTTACACATGTAATTTGACTTATTCATTATGCAGCCCTATGTTTATTGCAGCATTATTTACAATAGCCAAGATATGGAGGCAACCTAGCTGTCCATTGATAGATGAATGGATAAAAAAGATGTAGTATATATATGTGTGCGTGTCTATATATATATAGACACACAATAGAATATTAAGCAGCAATAAAAAAGAGTAAAATCTTGCCACTTGTGACAACAAAATGGATCTATAGGATGTTATGTAAGTGGAATAAGATAGAAAAAGACAAATATCATATGGTTTAACTTATATGTGGAATCTAAAAACAAAACAAGTAAATGAATAAAACAAAAAC